TGCAGAGTCGGTAATGACTGAGGGCAGATTAAAAAAAAAAAAGACTTGATACTACAGGCTTGAAAATAGACATAACAACCTTAGCTTTTAGGAAGTGCTATAAATGGCAGCAAGTAACTTAAGAAAGCAATACTGTCCCACAAGCCATTAAGTTTTGCAAATGCCACAGGACAAATTCTAGCTCAGCTTCAGCCTCCTAAAACTCCAACAGAAATAGAATATATGTAGCTCAGGGTTGAACTGTGGAGTCCTTGATGACCTCACACTCTCTAAGCATGGTTGTTTGCTTGCAGACATTTCATTACCCAGTTAGATAACATCATCAGTGTTTGTGAGTGTGGGGTGTGCTCCCTGATTATATATATAGTAGCTTGCCCTGCCAGTGTTGGTGGAGATGTGGTTTTTCCTTGGTAGTTCCCTGATTAGGGTATTGTGTTCTGCTTGATTGTTTGGTGTTAATACCTGCTTATCTGGGTGTTGGTTGCTGGAGAGGATGTGTTCTGGTCTTTTTGTTTCCCTCTTAGCTTTTCTATTGTCTCTTTTGAATGGTGTGTAAATGTGGTTTATGTGTCTATTAATGGCTGATGTCTCTGAGTGCCAAACTTCCAGGAATTCCCCAGCATTTTTGATTTAGCTTGGTCTAGGATGCTCACAGTTTCCCTTCTCCTGCCTGCCGTATTTTAGTGACACTTAGTTACCAAAATAATTGTCACTGGTAACAGCGTTGCCAATGAAGAGGACAAAAGCTTTGAGTTCATGTGCAAAAGGGAGAATGTTAGTCTAGCAAACTAAGAAAATAAATAAAACAGGCCATTTCTTCACCTCAAAAGTACATGGCTTTTGATGGTGTCCCTCCATCACTCTGCCTATTGAACTTCATGGTTGCACCAAAAATTGCACTGCAAAAGCATTTCTATACTGCAGTGAAGAGGCATCTCCTATCATTTCATAGTTGGGGTGAGATATGGGCCTTCCTGCAATTTTTATGACGCTCAATTCCAAACAAGGCTCTCAGTGACTTACAAGCAACAAATGAAGGGACCCATCATACCAACAACCCCCACCAAAGCTTTCGGGGATAGACAGATCCTGGTGGCTTTCCTGAATAGCAACAGGGTTAGTGTTGTCCTGACCTTGGGAGGAGCAGTTTTCCAAAAGAAAGAGGGACAGCTACAGAGAAGGTCCCTAATGATGGCAACTCTCAAGGATGGGTATTAAGTATGTCTTCCTACTAGGTCTTATTAGATGGACAGAAACTCTGGGAAAAGGCAGCCCCACAAGTAACCAGGTGGTTCTGAGTCACGTAGGTCTGTCAAGATGACAACCACCACTTCAAATTGCATCTGGAAGCCAACTAGCAGCTTGGAGTAGTGATCTGGCAAACCAGGAGGTAGCTTAACTACAGAAGATGCTGCACTCTGGAACAGCTGTAGCTTTGGGGTTGTCTTCAAGGACAGCTCAAGGCAGACCAAGTTTCAATGCTCTGATCAAGAGGTGATCAAGGCATGAGTGACTGTGAGCCGGTCTCCGGATCCAGGAACAGTCATAACTGTGGAGTCCTTGGGGTTCTCTGAGCTTGGTTGTTTCTTTGCAGACATTTCATTACCCAGCTAGATAACATCTTCAGTGTTAGCCAGGTAATGAAACTAGCACTGAAGATGTTATCTAGCTGGGTAATGAAATGTCTGCAAAGAAACAACCAAGCTCAGAGAACCCCAAGGACTCCACAGTTCAACTCTGAGCTACAAATATTCTCTTCTGTTGATACAGTCATAACTGGCACATGAGATGACTTTTCTGTCAGTGCATCCTGTGAGCAGTCTTGGAAAGAGGAAATGCAAAATCAAAAATTTCCACTCCAAATTCTTACTGATTCCACTGCCAATTCTTATAGTATATTTGAGTTCACTGCTTCAGATTTTATAATACTTTTTCTTTTGCATTTTTAAAATTCTAGATATGGATTACTTTTGTTCTGGCTTGGGTTTGACTTAGTATGTTATACCAACATGCGACCTGTTTCTTTAGCGTTATGATTTGGTTTCCTGGTGAAATCAAAAAACGGGTTAATTCCGTGACCGTATTGTGCGTTGGGAAAGAGGGTTGGCTGTCTGGTGCTTGGAAGAGCTAAATGGGACTCACGTATGTGTATGGCCAAGGGCCTGAGGCAGCCCCCAGGAACTACCCCGTGGGACAGGCTCCTGCAGCCAGGAAAGCCAGTGGCCTCCACACATCATGGGAGGGGGTAAGAAGCCAACCCATCCAGCAGATGGGTAAGCAGGGACCCTGACAGCAAAAGGTCTCTTGCAGATTCCTAAGGCAGAACTTCAGCTGCTGGACAGGGAATGATGAGTAGGTGCCAGATGTTAACATGGGTTTGGCTGCAATGGATTTAAGTACTGATATTAAAGGACCATTCACACCTGGTTTTTTACACATGCATTTTCCCTAACCCTAACCCTAACTGTGCAAGGAATAAGTTTCTTATTTTCCTATTTCCTCCCAGTGGAAATTGGAACAATCTTATTTTCTCACCTTAAACCAATGGGGTTTAATAGTGAATTTTATTATTTCTACATGAAAAAATTAGACTTCTGGGTTGCCAAGAAATGCATATCTTAATTGTGATATTAAATATCACACATATTTAATGTATTCAACCCACCTCCAACAAAGGGGTTTGGTCATTGACTTGTGATCTCAGGTACGTGAAGGCTGATGTTACACAGTGGATCACAGCAGATTTCACATAAGAATAAGCTTGCCCTCGCATATGTCAGGGAAAAAACCACATTAAACACGGGAGGCAGACACACCATAAAACAAGTCACTTCAGAGTTCTATGTTCTACCAAAACTTTATTGAAAATAAAATTCAGCATAAAAATAAATGCAATCACAATGTACAAGGTACTTACACGTTGCAATGCCGGCCTGCTTGCCTGAGCCGTCAAACTGACAGCTCGTTCAAGAGGTGCCATTTACCTGGTTGCTATCCTTTTTATTCCGTTAAAACACAAACCACATTATGACGATCAGATCATTCCCAGAACAGATGTCGACACGTGTTGTGTCGGTGCCCTATCCTTAGCCCTTCTGTTCTCGTCAACAAATTTGTAATTTCCTTCATTTTGTAATTTCTTCTTATTTCCCGTAAATGCCCCCACAGGTCATATTTCAGTTATCTTGGCCTTATTAAATGCACTCAAACTTACATTAAAACATATAAAAAGGCTACTAATAATTTTCCCCTCACACATAGCTTTTGGTCCAAAACCATCCTTCATCTGGTGCCCACAGGATGGGTTGGTGTGCAACATTCTTAAATCCCATAAGCACCAACATGGCAATTTTTGGAGGATCACGGCAGCTGGAGTCTAAGATAACTAATGGGTATAGATTAAAGAAGATAGTGATCAGATCCCAGAATGAGCGTGACCTTCTTTTTCTTCTTTTGTTTTGCACAGGTGCTGGGTTGCTTGGTGTGGGCCCTCATTGCCGACACATACTACCAACCCTATCCTTCCTACGGCTGGGTGATGTTTGTAGCTATCTTCTTCTGGATGGTGACCGTCATACTTTTTGGAATGTACCTGTTTCAGCTTCAGCTGAAACTCTACATGATCCCTTGGCCTATTGTGGTGAGTGTGGAAGGCTGGGAAAATATATAATTTTAGCTTCCCCCTAGCGAGCGTTTGACAAATGGTCTTGGACTGGACCACCATTCACTGCCAACTAATAGCACCGTGCTGGGGTGATGGGAATTAGGTTAGCTCTGAGATCCCCGTGTGGTGTCAGATCTCCTGGCTCTTCCCAGATTATCTTGACTCCTCGGCTTGACTTGGCTGACTTGACTTCTCAGATGTGGCTTACTTAACTTAAAATCTTTATTGCAGAGAATAAAGCTGTATACTAAAAGTTGATTGCCCACAGCCTGTAAGAAGATGTAAATTACCTTTATATTCTTGGGGATTTAAACTCAAGGTTTCTTCCAAGTTACTGGATGTTTGGTGACCTTCAAGTCTTAAGGACAGGTCTATCAGTGGCCTCTAGCTGCTGCCTCCAGGCATAGGGGCAGTCCACCTCTACATATTGGGTGCACAGGAGCCTGAATGGGAGAGGAGGACAGCCTTGATCTCCTATATGTGGACTTCTTAGATGCTTCTGGTAGGCCACCATGTGAGATGGAATGCTGGCCAGAAGGCTCAGATCTGTTTTCATGTTCTCAAGCCAAATTGTTATTTTATGTTTACATAAAAACCATCTTTGGCCTGGGAATCACCAGTCCCCACCTGAAACCTTACAGGTTGTAACCATAGGTAGCAATAGGCCTGAAGACTATAGTTTTTTTTTAACTATAGCCCCCTCTGAGTTTTAAATTTGCAACAGTTCTTTAGAGTTATATTTTCTTTTAAAAAATGAAGTTAGCAGGGAAAGCAAGTACCTACTTGCAACATCATATTTTTTTCCAAGAGTGCATTTGATAAAGTCCCATGAACATTCCTAGAAAATAAAGGCTGGTGGGTGGCCTCACCTGGTCCTTCACTGAACCTAGGCCCAGTCTCCCCAAAAGGAGAAAAATAAAGTGGGTTGTAAAGAAGAGGGAGAATATTTCACACCCCTAGCAGAGAGTATCATGTAGGGCTAAAGAAACTAAAGAGAATGGTGAGGAACAAGCCCACCTATTTGTCTTCTCTTAAATTACATTTTATTACAAGCCATCTTGTGAGAGCATTCACAATAGTTGCAAATGTGTCAACCATTCTCAAAGGATCTTATTCTGTTGACGCTCTTTGGAGAACTGAAATGCCCCTTCAGCTTTGAAGAATGGCACTCCTTTGGCATCCTGAGGGCTCCAGACTGATCCCTTGATACCTCTAGCTAGGGTGCCTCACCCTGAAGCCTGTGAGATGCTGCTGGTCAAAGGCCATTTTGCACCAGGCAGCTACTGCACTGAATCATTTTCCACATTTGCATACTATTGTGAACCATGACCCAACTGAATGGGCTTTGCCCAGTGTACTTAGCCACAATAAAAGCTTTGTATTTGGTGCAAATGCAGCCATTACTTAAGTAACTTGTTTAATCAAGTTGGGTAAATACAGGCAATAGTGAGCTGGATGGAATAATTTTCTGACTTGGTAACTTCCTGAATGAATGATACATTCACTTATGTCCCTCTATTTCTGCTTTAAGTCATATAACCAAAGAAATCTTGAACTTTTGAGATAGTTCACCCTAGTTTTCCAACTAGGCAGAATAATCATTTACTATTCAAATATTCTTCTTGCTGTTATCATCCAAAAGGGTAAGTTTTATCAGTAGGCTAGAAATCACTAGTTCTTCTGTGGTTAATATTTCAAATGTGCACACCCTACACCCATACAATGAAAGAAGAGCTCAAGACCACGTCCACAAATCAGAAAGGCTCGTGAGAAACTTGGCTTTTAGATTTTAGTGAGAAAGCACCCTTACTTGGAAATTAACCTGCATGGACCGGAGCACTTCTTTATCTTTGTACAAGCTGTGGCATGAGCTGTATTTGGGTTTAATTGTGATTTTATAGGGTTGGCTGGTCAAGGTGTCTTTTTTGGCTTGTGCTGAAGAAGCATTGAGCTTTCTCATATTGTAATCAGACCATCCATCCATTCATTTTTTTTCGTTCCAACACAGAGAATTGTTCTAAATGGGTCTGGGAATAATATTGGTTGTGCTGCAGTAACAGAAAAGGGTCTCCATTGCATCTTCATCAGGAGCTCCAACTTAAGAATCCTCTCCCCCAGCAGTTAAGAGTTCCTTCTCATCTGTCCTAGTACAACCGAGGACTACCTCTCCATTTCTGGTTGCGCTGCCCCAGGTGCAGGAAAGTAACAGTGCTGCCTTTGTTATCCTTTCCAAAATCGAAAGGGCAGTGCTGACTGTGGGTTCAGGACAAGTCAGAGAAGCCTGCTTGTTTCAGCCAGACAGCAGCCCACGCCAATGCTGTTTGGCAGTTAGAAACAGAACCGTGATCGGTCATCTCTACATCGGTCACTTATCTTGGTTTGCATGTTGTTTCGTTGAGTGCTAATGTGGCCCCCAAGAATGACAGAATCAGTGTTCACGTTTAAATCATGGGCAGCCAACATGGAGCAAAAGAAGGCACCAGCCTGGAGCATTAGGGCTGTGCAAGCTGTCAGATCTGAGTCAGAAAAGCAGCTTTGGAATGCGCAGGAACGCCAATGAAGCGCCTACCTGCAGCTCATTAAAGCAGCCGCACCTTCTTACAGGTTTGTGTGGCTGCAGAAATTTCCCCTGAACAGCTGGGTGATCCCAGAAAAAGATGGAGCTGTTTTAGTGAGCTGCAGACAGGTGCTGCCTTTCCACTCTCCACCTATTCCACAGCCCTTTCAAATGTCAGTGTCATTTTCACTGCCTCTGGGTCTCACGCCTTCGAAAATAAATAGAAAGATAGCTGCTTCTCATTCCATTGTTCGCCTTCTGGTCTATGGCTATGCTGTGATCAGCCATACCCACCATAGCAACTGTTTTGTGTAGTGCCTATAACCTGCCTTCAAAACTCCACTCCCCCCCCCTCCCCAAATTAAAGAGTTCTGATTTAAGGAGTGAAGGTAGCCCTGGACCTGGTTTACAGGTAGTTAAAGCACAGCATCTTAACCACAATTTGTAACCAGGCTTATTCATTTACTTGGCTCTTTAAATTGGAGCAGATGAGAGGGTTAAAATAAGGTGACTTCTCTTCTGATCTCCTGACGCAGAGGTGGGAAGCTAGAGCAAACACAAAGTGGGCCTTTCTAGCCATGTCTAGTCTACTTTTATTAATGTTTTTCATTCTCCTTCAGGGCACTTGGTAAAGTGGGACGGACTTTGCCTTTCTCCGCTCCATCCCTGGTGGCTCCAGATACTGTTTGGCCACCAGGCTTTTAACACTTTTCTTAAAGGAAATATAAAATATAGGAAGTATCAGTTGGCCAGCCACTCAAACATGGTTGAACTTCCAGCATAAAATGGCTTCTAATTAGCCTCAGTTTGTAATGGCGATTGGTGCCAGATTAATGGGTAATGTCTCTACGCATAGTTAGAACCAGATATGGCTGGCTCGTCATGCAAACAAACATTTTCTACGAGGGGAGATGCAGCATTTTCATCAGCTGAAGTGCAAACCTGACTTTAGCTTGAAGGATACCATAAGATATGTCAAAATCTAGTTTACTTATCACCCCTGCCTCCTTTCCAAATTTAGGTGGGCTTGCCTGTCTTGTAAAAAAGAGATTAAGGTTATTTTTAAGAAAAAATTGTTTATATTAAACATAACACGTTTCATTTAATACAAATGGAGATAAAAGTGGATTGTGAAGCCACAATCTTAAACTAACAGGAGCTGCTAACTCTATGCTGAAAAGCTAGCTTGGGGGGGGGGCATATAGGGGGGCATCCTTCAGAGCTTGATCCTAGAGAAGAAAAAATGTTTGTGCTCCAAGGGAAAAGTTACAGCTCAGTAACCTGTGTTTTCTTTGCAGAAAATCCCAGGTTCAGATTGTTTCATTTCTGTTTCATTAAAACGGTTTGGTTATAATGATTCTTTGACTAAGAGTCTGCAAGGGAGTCCATCAGAATAGAAACAGCTAGGTTAGCTTGATGCAGGACTGAATGTTTCCATGTAATTTCAAAGGAACATCCTGAATGGGGAAAACCTGGCCATTCTCCCAATGCTGCATTTGCTTTCCCCATCAGTCAACACTAACATATGACTAGTCTTATACAGGACATCTGAACCAGAATGTTGACCAAATTGTTCTCTTCATCAGGATAAGTGTTCCAGTTTTCTGCAACTTAGACTCTTAAAAGTCACATTATATTTTACTTGCGTCCTAATTAAAATGTGTGGCAGAAGTGACTTCACTAATCTGAAAATCAATCTACCTCTTAATATCTCCTACAATTCTTGTTTTTTTTCTCTCTTTGAGAAGGAAGATTTTCTGTATGTTAAAGCAAACCCAACTATGTTGGGTATCCATTGGCTAATGCCTATGAGGTCAAACCAAAGCTTTTGTCTTTTTCCAAGAGCAGCATGTCAGCTTGTTTAAGGAGGTACGTAACCTTGTTTGGATGGGAAGGAGATGAAAGATGAAGCCAGTCTGTCAGGACAACATATTTTTATCAAAAAGGAACTGGGGAGAGCAAGACTAAGACTCAGACCGAGCTCCTGCCAAGACACCGTGCAGAATATTAGAGGGGTTTTCACATCTGAATCCTCTTATGGGGCTCTCTTCTTTTCCCCAGCTTGTGGTGTTCAATATCTCAGCAGCCGTCATGTACGCAACAGCCTTCATAACCAGCGCTGCATCGGTTGAACCGTACTCCTGGCCACATTCCCCGGACTACAACAGAAGGGCCTCAGCGTCGGTAGGTGACTGTTAAGCTGAGCTATTTCTTTAGGCTGGGCCACAGGGCAGCTGCCACCCCATCGGGCTTTCTTCAGATCCTGCCACATGAGCGTGAGCACCTGCCCCCTCTCCCAATCATACCAGTAGGATGAAGGGAACTGGTTTCTCCCACGTTTCCTTTTCTCTTGGTCTTCTCTTTCTTGCTGCCTGTGTAGTTTCTTTTTTTCTAAGACAGGGCTGGCTTTTCAAGTCCCAAGTCTCGTTATGCCAGCAGTGAGCTAATCTTCACTCATTAATAAAGCAGCAGCTGAGAGCTACATCATGCAGCAGAGCTCCCTTTGCCTTCTCTCTCCCGGGATGCGGTTTTGTACTCAAACTATCAGTCACCAGCAAGCAAGTGGGGCCTTCCTCAACCTGGCACCGTCCGTGTGTCCTGGACCTGCTGCCCCACTTGGTCATTGGCCAACTTCCCGGAAAGGAGCCAGATGGACAGAACCAGCCCTTGAAGCAGTTGTCCTTCTTAGTCTTGGATGGAATAAACTGGTACACTTTCAAGCCCTTAACATCATTTTCCTCCTTCGGAGTTACAGAAAAAGAAGAAGTCAATTTTGCTTAGATGGTGTGGGATTTTTGATGGTTTTATCCAATGTATGCATAACAGAGATCGGAACTTGAGTGATTTTACTGATGCTGGTTTCAGTTTCTCTGCTCCTGCATGGCTGTATTTGTATTTTGAACTGAATAGTGAATTGTATGATTGTTTACCGTGAAAATCTAAAAGCAACACTGAATCTCTAGTATTGTCTCCTCCTCTAAGTGAAATCTTTTCACTGTTTTCAGCTGAACAGGCTGGCAGGGCAGCTCACGTAGGGTCAGTGGGAATGATCAAAGTCTCTGCCTTGCCAAGCAATCTTATGCTTCTTCTGTATCAGGTTGGAGGGTCCAGATCACCTGGAAATGGACTTGAGATCCAGGGTGATCTGCAGCCTCCTCTCCTGGGCAGTTGACTATAGCGCTCTGATTTGTTCATCTCTGTCTTTACAGTTCTTTGCCTGCCTGGTGATGATCGGCTACGGTGTCAGTTCCTGCCTCAGCATCCGAGCCTGGAGGGGTTATGGAAGCAACGCAGCCACGAGTCAAGCAACTCTCTCCAATCATACCTAAAAAACTGTGCATCCTTCTGAATCAACATGGGCCAAGCTGGTTAGCTCATGGGCAACGGTAGCAGCTACTGCAGCTTTCCCCGCTTCTCTTCCAGATGTGGCACGGCCTAGCAGGGCTGATCTGATTGCAGGGCTCACCTCCCCTTCCCATGCTCTAACTGGCACCCTCGACAGAGCGGCTACGGCCCGGATGAGATAGGACACCCTGTCGAGCCAGCAGGAGGCAGCCTCAGGCTGGTTTTCATGATTCCTGGTTTGATCTGCATATTTCTAACCCCAGAGCTAGGCCTTCCAATGCTACTTTCAGCATTATCCCTTTGGCGAAGATGTTACCACTTTAGCTGAGCATTGCACTGGAATGGAAGGGCACAAACCAGCCCTTCACGTCTCTTGGCTAAACAGGGGCAGTTACTAATATCTGTTTGGATAGTGTCAGAGCAATGCTGGAATAACCACGTGTGCAAAACATGCAAATTCTTGTTAACTGGGCATTCTTCAGGCCTGTTATTGACATGCCTTTACTGGCATGGTCAGCTGCACATGAGGAGTGGCTGTTTTAGCTTAAGGTGACTTGGACGTTCTCACTGTGATGTCTGCAGAGGAGTGCTCCAAGGGATGTGTAAAGTAACCCAGAGGCTGCATGTCTCTAGGGACGGCCAAGCATCTCTCACTAGAACTAAAGCAAACTGAAGCCCTGGACTCACTGCTTGCAGGTAGTGCATGTAAATAATGTTTAATTATTAATTCCATTTTGTTTCACAGTAGCAGAAATGCCTCTGGCATACACACCCCACAAATATTTTATTTCTAAAAAATGTTTTAAATACATTTTTAAAAGAACTTCTGCATTGTTCTCATTTGTAAAAGGAGGGTTCTTCAGAATATAAGCTGCCTGGAGAAGATGCACATAGAATCAGAATTCAGTTTTAAAGATTTACAATGGGGCAAGAAAGTATTTAGTCAGCCACCAATTGTGCAAGTTCTCCCACTTAAAAAGACGAGCCAGGCCTGTAATTTTCATCATAAGTATACCTCAACTATGAGAGACAAAGTGGGGAAAAAAATCCAGAAAATCACATTGTCTGAT